GACTTTAGGGAATGAGCCAAATCCTTTAATGCAAGTGCAGGACATGGGAGCAGAGATTGGGGAATTTAGGGAACGCAAGACATCCTTAAACCCAAGACATGGGGGCAGGGAGTATGGAATTTAGGAGGAAATTTCGGGAGCTAGGGAATCCTAACAGTTGGGAAAATGTCAGGAATTTAGGGAACTATTGAGATCAAAAATAAGACTGCACAGAGGACTGTAAGACATATCGTGTATAATTAGCAGCTAAACTATACATACCCTGCTAACGAAGCTTCATTGCATTAGAGGAACCCTCAAATCCTGGATTCCTCAACTCATGTAAAATCCCGTTTCGAACTTGTAAAGGGGTTCTTACATCATGGGTTACTGCGTTCCCTTACATAGTTCTCTTACTAAACAAGTTTCGAATTATGACTCAAAGTCTGCGATCCTGCACGCTTGATTTTCTTTGGGTACTCTATATGGTTATACAGTATTCCACAAGGAAAACATTGCAGAAGGTCTGCTGTAATATGTATATGTAGGGGTAGTTATGACGAGTCCGTATATGAATTTAAACCCTTACTAGATAAGCTTCGATGTATTCCAAGAACTCCTAGACTCAAGATTCCTCCAGCTTTCCGTCACATAAGTTTCCTACACAATAAGCTACAATTCAATCGGGAATTCTCAGATATTGGGCTTGGGCTCCTCCTGATTGTCCTTATATGTATCCTGTATTCATGAGGTATTCTACAAGGTGTTAAGACAAGTTTAAGCGTGAAGATATCATTTGTAGAAGGTCTTTTACAAGGTATTCTTTCCAGTGTTCCGGATGGTCATCTACACTATATCCAGGGTAGTATGTATTACATAATGCATTTTGTGCGGTATTTTGTGTGGTATTCTATAGGGTATTCCATAAGTTATTGTGTAAGGTACTCAATCGCGTAGATGTACGGGGATTTCCTCAAAGTAAATGACAAGGTATTCTGTGGGGGATTCTATCATGAAGGTATTTTAGAATTGCGGTATTCTATATGAAATGACGTAAGGTATGCAGAGGAGGTATTCGAAAGGGTATCCTATCAGGAATTTTATCTAGTGTGTTCCGTGTGGTGTTCTATACGGTATATTTTAAATAAAGCGTTTGGGTGTATCATATATAGGTGATCGAAATGAGTGTCACAGGAAGCTACGTGGGGGGTGACCCAAGAGATTCTGCGGAAGGAATGTTTGGGCGAATGCACTTGAAGCAAAATCGGCCCGATTCACGTTGAATCGGCCCGTTTCAAGTTGCATCGGGGGCCGGATTGAAGATTGAAGATTGAAGGCTCCTGGAAAAAGCTTCCCAGGGATCTTCAATCTTCAATC